AGTGTTGGATCAATATCAGGGGGCTTATGTAACTGTAAAAGTGATTGTAATAATAACAAATGTCGTTGCAAAAAATTGGGTGAAAAATGTGGGAGTAGATGTCATAGCGGGCGTTCATGTCAAAACAAAGATCATAGCTAAAGGGTTGCTTTGTTTCTGGACCGAAAAATAATAGAAAGTCGCATAATTGTATACCATTTTATATTTAAGTAAAATTTAATTTGCAAAGTGTTAAGGCTTAATATAAAAAAAATTGAATAAAATAGAAAATTTACAATGCTTTTTTACGTTTTTTATGTTTTTTGCGCATAACGGTTTTATTAATTGAAATTTATTTTATAATTAAAATTACATTTTTTATATTCTATTATATTAAAGATCTTGTTTTTTTTTTTGTTTTTTTAAAAATAATTATAATTTTATTTTCAAAAAATAAAACGAAAGTTTTTAAAAAAAAATTTTTTTAATACTTTATTCTCGTAAAAATAAACTTTTTTTATGATTGACTAAATGCGCATTTACTATAATTGACTAGATTGCCTCAGATTACAGCTGCGGTATCTCAGATGATCATTGATTCAAATCACGCACCTCACCTGACGATTGTAATCTAAGGTGCGTCAGTTATAGTCTGAGGCAAGAATCGATCTGAGGCACAACATATATATACCGATTGCTAACTTTAAGCCGGTTCGATCCCGTGACTCGCAAAAATATTTGTCACGCCATGTCACACCTCCGTTTTTCCATCTTTTATCAAGTATTCTGTTTCGGTATGTGATTTCTTATTTTGTCACAATTTATTAGTCACCGGGACTGTGATCGAGCCCGACCCGGCTTTAGCCACCCCCAAATAGGTATAGCACATTAAAGGTTAAACACAAGATGAACAAATCATGGGAAAAAAATAAAGTTTGATTAAAATGGTTAACCATTGATTGTAATGAATTTCATAAATTTGGATAAATAAGAAACATTAAAGTCATTCTAATCATAATTTTATGTGGGTTTTCTCTTTAGTATTGTTTATAACAGGTTCAAATAACAGGTCCTAATATTTTGAAAACTTGATTCTTTTATTTGGTTTCAAGATTTTATTGATTGGCATGATCAACTCAAAACCGATCAAAATATTTCATTTTTATGCAGATCCCGCTTATGGTATTAACTATAGAACTATAGAAACATTTCCTTATAAATATTATCAATATTCTGCCCCAAAAATCCTTTATAAAATTTTAAAAATTAGCATGTATTAACAAAGCACATCATCATCTCACAGATCTCGAGGATAAGGTCATAAATCATCTCCTTCTCCAGCTTTTCAATCACATTATATAATCGCTTTACAGAACCTAAAAAACTTACCCAAAAATGTGAAATGGGAGTGTTTCTAGGAAAATCAGGTTTCGAGAAATTTTTGACTAAAATTAAGAGCTTAATACATTTTTATCTAATTACATCAAAAACTAAAATGCAATAAAAATCTCAATTTTGCTAAAAAATTCCCGGAACCTGATTTTCCTAGCAATCTACCCAAATCACTTTGCTCGACCATTTCTACGTAAATGGGACCGAAAAACGATACCATGTGGCCGTAATATTCCATAAAGGTCATCGCGCTACAGAACTCTTACGCTCTTACCGTTTACAAAAACCAAGGCTTGATTCTGTTTGCTCTTGACGACAGTATATTCTCCCAAACAAGACTATTTCGTTCTCAGCAGGTCGAAAACGTGAACATATTGACAGTAAATTCAACGAGGATCTTCCTGAAGAAAAAGATTCACACCTCGATATACGCGTGGGAGAACGGCAAATTCTAGTCGTATCGGAAGTTATTCTCGCCGTTTATATCTATGGCAGAAAACTGGCAAAGAAAACTCTATCTCCTTTTCTTACAAGAAATTCAAAACACCTAAAAAATGAATTCACGAGTCATTTCGCCACGCCCTATACACATACGAACTGGCCAAGAAAGAAAAAGAGTTTTTCTTGGCCAGTTCGTGTGTTTAGTGTGTGGTGAAATGACTCGAGTGAATTCATGTTTTAGGTGTGTTGAATTTCTTGACGCTGGCTGGTTGTTTAGTTGAAAGTAATTTTTCGCGGTAAGTTCCGTTTAATCCAATTTTGTAATCGGTTTCGTTTTTTGATGAGACAGTTAATAATTATCGTTAGTCGAAATAGATTTCCCCAATATCTGGTGATGATATCCTTTTTTACGTCGTAGTTCGAATGAGAAGCGTAACGGGTCGTAATGGTGAGATCGAGCATCTACCAGAGAAGGAGATGGAGAAACTGTAGTCTCGGAAGAAAATTTTCCGCTTAATCCACTCACACCATTATAAAAGTACAAGTTGATATTGCGCATTTTTGCTAACAATAAAAAGCTTTTTCGAACGACTTAGGATGAAGCATGTCGTCCAAAAGTACGCTGGTTGGTTGTTCAATTTAAAGGAATTTTTCGCGGTAAGCTCCGTTTAATCAAATTTGTAATCGGTTTCGTTTCTTGATGAGACTATTAATAATTATCGTTGGTTGAAATAGATTTCCTCATCTTCAACCTTAAGGACGAGAAAATTCTATAAAAACAATGCATCATAATCATTTTTGACAAACTTATAAATAAAGTGAATTATATAACGTATAAATATATCAATAAATTATTTACCTTTAAAATTACTGTACTTCAGATCATAAAAAAAATGTCTACCGTATTCCTCCGAAAATAAGCAACCTTTTTTTATTATAAGGTTGCTTATTTTCGGGTATTTTCAGATATTTTAT